AAATAATCCATATATTTTTCTGTGTCTTCATCAGCATTTCCTTTACAAGATTGTCACTTGCTCCTTGTTGGAATCTTCTTTCTAAGCTGAATATAGGTCGCATCCAATATTTTCGTCGTTTTTTAATATTTTCATTTCTTTTTACAATTATATACAATGAATATAATTTTATAATCTTACGGCGTAATTCATTCTTTTTAAATATACACCAACTTTGTTTTAATTTACTTAACAATCCATAAATAATAATAAACAATTTTTCAGAATCCATATTCAATATTAAGTTGTTGTCAGTTTTGAAAGTTATATATGAAATTCATGAATTTTTTGACATATATGTGTGAATCCGATCCGCATAAATTTGTATTTCCTATGTCCCATGCAGCGGAAAATACGGAAGCGTAATTTGCGCGAGCCAATAATGTATGTTGTTCCGATATAGACAACAAAAAAATCTATGGGAAAGAATCTTGTGATTGGCCAACACCAATTGCGCTTCCGCGTTTTCCGCTCCATGGGACATAAGAAAATATATTTCAACGGAACGTAATTGACGGAATGTCTGTGATTGAACGAACTTCGTTCCGCCAATTCCGCATTGCGCATACGTTCCGTATCATGGGACCGCACCATTATTGTCATTATTAAGGATATATATATATATATATATATATATATATATATATATATATCTATGTATGCACTTTAATTTATTTTGCCCGTTTAATTTATACATACATAAACAGAACAACGACGATATATAGTATATATATCACATATCTCACTCAGTAATCCATAGTCGTAGGACTATAAAATATTAATCACATTCCAATCGGTAACTCAGTCTGCCGCCTTTGGGTGCCTATGTGTACATATTTTCGGGGTACACGTTAGGTGGGGAATATATAACGAGCCTAGCAGTCTAGTGTATCATAGAAGTCTGTGCTCATCACCGTGCGCTTCTATTCACGCAGATTGATCGATTTTCTTTACTTAATTTTTCGTTAATTATTGCGAATATCGCAAAATAATATAGGACCTTCCTTCTTAATTTGAACAAATCTATCTTCACACTTTTGGACTGCGAAAAGTTTTCAGATTCCCCGTATATATATATATATATATATATTATATATATATATATATATATATACAGGGTGACCCATTTTAACTTAGGCAGCCAAATAACTCGAAAAATAAGCACACTACGAAAAAATGGTTAGAATGAAAATTTCGTCATTTCGAGGGGGACGTACAATGACGTTAAAATCAGCCCCCCCACCCCTCCCCCTGGGCGGTGAGGGGGAGCAAGTTTGAAATCTTAAACGGGAACCCCTATTTTTTATTGTATATTCCTGTAGCTTATCTCGAGAGCTTTCCAAAACACTATAATTAAGTACCTTTTTATTAAGTACTTTTTGAGTTATAAGGCTTGAAATAATTTCTTAATTTTACATAAACCATAAAATATCTAGTAAACCATTCATTTTTCGATTATCTTACCTTCATACTTTTATGTACAAAATAATGAGAGGAATCAATTGGTGTAAAGAAAACATACAGTTGTTTTTAAGAAAAAATATGGAATTGTTAATTGCAAATTACATATTTTTTCTTAAAAACAACTGTATGTTTTCTTTACACCAATTGATTCCTCTCATTATTTTGTACATAAAAGTATGAAGGTAAGATAATCGAAAAATGAATGGTTTACTAGATATTTTATGGTTTATGTAAAATTAAGAAATTATTTCAAGCCTTATAACTCAAAAAGTACTTAATAAAAAGGTACTTAATTATAGTGTTTTGGAAAGCTCTCGAGATAAGCTACAGGAATATACAATAAAAAATAGGGGTTCCCGTTTAAGATTTCAAACTTGCTCCCCCTCACCGCCCAGGGGGAGGGGTGGGGGGGCTGATTTTAACGTCATTGTACGTCCCCCTCGAAATGACGAAATTTTCATTCTAACCATTTTTTCGTAGTGTGCTTATTTTTCGAGTTATTTGGCTGCCTAAGTTAAAATGGGTCACCCTGTATATATATATATATATATATATATATATATATATATATACATATATATGTATGTATGTATGTATAAACAGAGTGTCCGTCCTATCATCCGTCCAAAAAAAGTAGATCTTGTTAAATCAAACTAAAAAATCATATACCATTTTGAAATGCGCCGTGTAAAATTCGAGATTAATTGACAAAGATCGGCCAATGCGCGCGGCTAGAAATACGCGTCACCATCATAGGTTTGTTCTTTATTGCTGCACTAAGGTCCGTATACGTTTATATTGCAATTTAATAATATATACGTGCTCAATAATAAAAAAGTAATAAATAATATAAATAATAAGTAATAATATAGATAGTATAATATAATATAATATAAATAATATAATATAATAAATAATATAATAAATTAATATATAATTAATATAAATAATATAAATAATAATTTTATTTTATAGTAAAAAAATATTATATTTAATAGTGAAAATATTTTTATCACAAAAATTTTGACAATGTACAGGTAAATTAAAATGAATTGAATTGAAAATTATGACCAATATAATATTTATGAAAATTATGATCAATGTGATATATATGATATATGACATATATATGTAAAATTTTTCTTTTTTTGTGTCGATGACATTCTGTCACTTTCATATATTCACTTATGATATTTAATAAAAGTTACTCAACAAGCGTATATCGCTTTAATATTTTAAATCTCAAGACGAATTTCATGTGAGTAATCATCCCATTTTTCAATTGAATAAATTCTCAAGTGATCTTTAATCAAAATGTAACTATTAAACCATTCATATCAAGACACAAAAATCTAATCCGAGCCTAAATCTCACCTAATACGTTCCTGAGACAAAATTTAAGAGACGACTATAAGACCCAGTTCCACGATCCAGTTAATCTGAGTTTAAATAGTGAATGGACCAATCAGTGATGGTAGACCGGGCGATTTTTTCACGCATGCGCAGTAGTAATCACAGGAAAGCAACGGTGTATCAGATAGCGGATTATGGGCGCCAAAGTTTTGGCGGGCAAGCTGAGCTCGGTGATGCTAGAAAGAAGTACGAAGTCCCGAGTGAATGTTATAATGTTTTAAAGTACAGCGAGAAAAGTGATTAGTGAATTGAAAGTGTGTTGTTGGTCGCTCGTAAAAATTTTCTAAAAATTTTCCTTCAGAAATTTATTTAAGGGCGACGAGTGACACACTTTTTACTTCTACTAGATATTTCGTTAACGCTGCGTTCGCGGCGCATGCGCGAAAAAATCGCCCGGCCTACCATCACTGGGACCAATCAGGACCTAGTTTAACGTATTAAACTCCGATTAACTCGAGTTGTGGAACCGGGCCTAAATACGGGTTGCACATGCTGCACTGAACTGAACTAGTGCAAACGAGGGATATATATATATATATATATATATATATATATATATACAGGGTCTACCAAAAGTGTGGAAACCCCTAAATATCTCGGAAAATATACGTTTTACAGAAAAGTGTTTCCAACAAAAGTTGTAGGGTTTAAGAAGATCTATATACTGATTCTATCAGTTTGACCTTGGATGGCGTCGTCAAGGTCAGGTCAAGGTCACATTGACTTTTTTAAATGACACCCCCTACATTTGATTGCATATTCTTATAGCTTAATTCAAGAGCTTTCCAAAACACTATAATAATGTTCATTTTTATTAAGTACTTTGCGAGTTATGAGGGTTGAAATAATTTCTTAATTTTACATAAACCATAAAATATCTAGTAAACCATTCATTTTTCGATTATCTTACCTTCATACTTTTATGTACAAAATAATGAAAGGAATCAATTGGTGTAAAGAAAACATACAGTTGTTTTTAAGAAAAAATATGGAATTGTTAATTGCAAATTACATATTTTTTCTTAGAAACAACTATGTGTTTTCTTTACACCAATTGATTCCTCTCATTAATTTGTACATAAAAGTATGAAGGTAAGATAATCGAAAAATGAATGGTTTACTAGATATTTTATGGTTTATGTAAAATTAAGAAATTATTTCAACCCTCATAACTCGCAAAGTACTTAATAAAAATGAACATTATTATAGTGTTTTGGAAAGCTCTTGAATTAAGCTATAAGAATATGCAATCAAATGTAGGGGGTGTCATTTAAAAAAGTCAATGTGACCTTGACCTGACCTTGACGACGCCATCCAAGGTCAAACTGATAGAATCAGTATATAGATCTTCTTAAACCCTACAACTTTTGTTGGAAACACTTTTCTGTAAAACGTATATTTTCCGAGATATTTAGGGGTTTCCACACTTTTGGTAGACCCTGTATATATATATATATATATAAATTTTTTCATAATTCTTCAACTTTAGCTAATATTCACATCGGTTACTTTATATGAATCACCCTGTATATATATATATATATATATATATATATATATATATATATATATATACAGGGTGATTCATATAAAGTGACCGATGTGAATATTAGCTAAAGTTGAAGAATTATGAAAAAATTTTTATACCGAAAGATGTTTGACACAGAGGGAGACAGTATAGTACAAATTATATTTTTATAGATAAAGGCATTAAGGAGATTTCAAAATCTACTTAATTTTTGTAAATGGAACTCCCTATTTTTTATTGCATATTCTTCTTATAGCTTATTTCAAGAGCTTTTCAAAACACTATAATAAAATATTTTTCCCTACTTAATTTTTGTAAATGGAACTCCCTATTTTTTATTGCATATTCTTCTTATAGCTTATTTCAAGAGCTTTTCAAAACACTATAATAAAATATCTTTCCCTCAAGTACTTTTTGAGTTAGAAGGCTTGAAATAATTCTTTAATTTTACATGAACCGTAAAATATCTTGTAAAATATTAATTTTTCGATTATCTTACTTCAGTACTTTTATGTACAAAATAAGGGGGAGGAATCAATTGGTGTAAAGAAAACACATAATTGTTTCGAAGAAAAAATATGTAATTTTCAATTAACAATGAAAACTAACTTAATTATAGTGTTTTGGAAAGTTCTCGAGATAGAGATACCTCCGATTAGACACAGTACAATTGGACATAACTAGCTTTAATTGGCTAATCGTACTTGATCATGCTGGTTACCCTAGGCATCGGTCGATATGATTGACTGTGTCTAATCGGACAATCCCCCTCGAGATAAGCTATAAGCATATGCAATAAAAAATGGGAAGTTTCATTTAAAAAAATCAACTTGACCTTTATATGACCTTGAGCACTTCATCCAAGGTCAAATTCTTATCATCATTAGATACATTTTATTTAGTTTTATTCTATAATTTTGTTTCTTACATATTTTTCATTATAGTTCGTTTTCGAGATATTTTAGCGTTCCAGGACTTTTTGGAAGACCCTGTGTGTGTATATATATATATATATATATATATATATATATATATATATATATATATATACCCAGAACATTACATACAAGCGCTTGTGAGGAGGTAGAGACCAGTAAACTGAACAGAAAAGTCTTATACCATTTTACAATTTTCGCAATAATAACAGAAATATTAAATATTAAAGTCGGACGAATGAAAGGAACGCCCCTTTCTTTCGTTCGATTAAGATCGGTATAAGACTTTTTATATATATATATATATATATATACGTACATAATCGTAATTAATAATTAACGAATATATTCCTTACAATGGTATTATTAGTCCCTTAAGAAGATCGAAACTATTGCTATCTGGATGTACAGTTATATCTGTATCATATAAGGATGAATAGACTTTCAAATGTCCAAAATCATCAATACTTAATATTGTAGCTTCCATGGGCTCTCCATTTGGCTGTATCACAGTAACAGTTGCATTTCTACAAAGATATAAAAAATATATAAATATTATACGAATATTTTATATATATATATATATATATATATATATATATATATATATATATATATATATAGAGAGAGAGAGAGAGAGAGAGAGAGAGAGAGAGAGAGAGAGAGAGAGAGAGAGAGAGAATAATAATAATATTCCAATAATTTAAATTTAAAATTACTTATGCAACCAGTATTGGTAATATAGAGAATAAAAATGTTTTATATTATTTCTTTCTACACAATCTAACAGATATTCCAATTGATTAAATACAAGCGCCATGTATTTTTCATAAGAGAACTTTTCCAAATTGACCTTATATTTTTCATTATATTGGGAAATTACATCATTAATACATATTGTAGGCTTGCTATTAGAGAGATTTATACCAGCACCTGAAATACATATTTTTGTTTATTTTATTTTAAAAAACTAAATTATCCATAAAATTTACATTTGTATTATGATTGTTATTACATACCAATATTGCAAATATAATTTGAAGCATTCATATGTGTACGCACTATCAAGCCACCAATCTTAATCGATGTACCGATATATATATCGTTAGGCCATTTTATTCTAAGATTAATATTCTGAAATATATAAATTGATCACATCACATACAAGTTATCATATATTAATAAATCATGCTAATATCAAATATTTTAAAATAATATACATATAAAAATCTAGAATGTTTGTAGAAACTAAAATCGTATATAGTACAAAATTTAAAAAAGGAATACTTTGTATCCTGGAGTAGATCTTATAGCTGATATCATTGCTACAGCGACAATATGTTGTAGAATCGATATTTGTCTACCAAGGATCGAATTTATAGGAACATGAATTTGCACAGTAAACAAAACACTACCAACTGGACTAATCCATTTATTGAAACATCGTCCTAAAAATAACTCGTTATAATTTTTTTGTCAACATATATATTTGAAATAAAATACCTCGTCCTTGTGTTTGTTGTCGTGTAATAACCGCCAATCCATGTGTCACAATGCCTTCTATTACATTCATAGTAGTTGTTAAGATATCGGAGTATATTATTAATTGACCTAATTTCTTTGTCTGAAGAGTCTGAGAAAGAAATAAAGTTTTTTATAAAATTTAATTTTAAGTGAAAAAGCGTAAATACCTCTTTTTTAAATTCATTTATTACATTATTAATTACATGTTACAAATAATAAACAATAAATATAAATCATATAAAAAAATGTATTACATGAAATTTCGTAAATGTGTATTTAATTATTTTTAACATATTAAAGGATTAATTGTTAGTATTAATTGTTTCAAGCATTAAAAATTTACTTGATAGTACTGTGTAGACGAGAAATTAAACGGACGAGCTTTATCATTCATTATAATGGGCAAGAAATCTTCTGATGCAATTTTTGATATTTCTTCTATATTTGTGAAAAATTGCATCTTCAAACTTGACTGTTGTAATATGTAATCCTCTGTCAGATTTGATAAGTTCTTTAGCAGTTCTATCTTGAACTACAAATTTAACAATATCCTTCATAAGTTTATGATAAATTGTAATCTTTGATTGTTGATAATGTAATGATTATTATGAAAACTGTTCATAATTCTGATAACTGTTCATTATCAAGTTCATTTACATTTTCAGTTTTGCTTAGAAGATAAGCTGGAGTATACGCTATAGGTGTTTCAATAGCATGATTTATCTCCATTCCTAGATGAGTACTCAATAGATCAGTGATTATTTCTAAACGCGCAGCATTACTCTTTTTGAGCGTTTTAAATAAATCCTCTTCGTTTTCGTATTCCTTTGGATCTTTCTCTAAATGGACCTGAGAGAACACTATTTTACCGTCACTGTTAGCTAAAGTTGCGAGTAATATACTTGGATTTTGCCATGTTTCCTCTTCACCCAATATTTTCACATCAAACACATGTGATTTTCCTTGTTTATCTTCATAATCAGCTGACTGTGGAACTTTTGATAAAAATCTCCTATAAAAGTAATGCACCTTATATATATATATATATATATATATATATATATATATATATATATATATATATATCTTTCTATCTTTTTTTCATATTTTTTGTTATAATTATATTATTTTATTAAAACAAACAGAAAAAATGTTATTCTACCTTCTATCTTCGAAATCTTGAAATTGATTTCGCCTTGGAGATGCTTGGTAGCAAGTAATATCATGCATCATATGCACACGCTTCCATTTTCCATATGATAAACAAACAAGTTCATTCTCACGCATTTCTGCAGTCTTGAATGATGGCAGCAAAATATATAGCATGTTGGAGCATAATGCTAAAACTTTACCACCGTGTATAATGTATTCTAGAATTCGATCAGCAGCATTGTTTAAAATATTACCACAAACGACAACCAAAGCAACCTGATTTACCCAATTGTTTTTTGGAGCATCTAATGGTGTTAAGTAATATATGGTATATCTAAAAAGAATAAAATATTTGTGGCCAAAAATCCTTGAGACAAAAGTGTTTAACTCAGAAAAAACTCAAAGTTTATTATGGCTGGTTACAACTACATCGTGAAATTTTAACATACCTCTCTGGATCTAGTATCTTAGTTAATAGAGATTTTATATTTTCGGCTGTATCTGCAGTATCTGCATAAATAAGTACATTTGGAGGTTTACTTATAATGTCTTCTCCTTTTTCGTAAATTTTAGAAGTTTCTTCTTCCTTTAGTTTATGAGTTGTATTAACTGGTGTTATTGCGAACGATAGCATTTGATCGAGTTTCTTTTGAATTTCCAGAGCTTCGAAATCTATATTTAATCCTGGATAAATAAAATGATTGTTTTAATATTTTGTAAGAATAAAAATTAAAAATGATGCTTATATATACAGAGAAAAATTTTATACTGTATATTTATACTATATTGTATATCGTTTTACTTTTTTCTCCTTTCAAAATAGCTGAGCCTTTTTGTGGATATACAAACACACCAGAATAATCAGTAACCTCTACAGGTTTATTCCAACTCACAGCTTTTAAAGCTGCGTTACTAAATACATTAAGAGCGTCTGAATAAAAAATATGATTAAATGATATAACTGATATATTACAAAGAAAAATGTAAAAATTATATGACCAAATTATTACTTCTATGCTGTGATGGAGGGTATGTTGATTCTTTATATCCCTCATAAATGCATGGTTCTCCTGTTACTACAACAGCTGAAAAGATAAAACAAGGATGTAAAATTGTTGAAATATATCATATATTCTGAGATGCAAGAATGATGCTTACATTGTATACGTTTTATAAATAAACCATTGTTAATTTGATGTTGTCCCTGTATAAACATAGTACCTAAAGCTGCAAAATGATCAATATCTGTATCTAAAAGTAAATGTAGATCATCTGAATCTATCTTTGCTATCCATGCCTTAATTTGACCATAATCTTCAATCTGTAAGATAATAAGTATATATAATAAATATGATTATTTAGACATAATTGTTTTTTTATATGATTACATATAAGATGTACAATAAAAAAGAAAATAAAACAAAAAATAAAACATAAAACATTATACTTTTATACAGTATTTTGGACTATTCTCGTAATAAGAATCAATAGCAGTATCGATAACAACATATAGACGCTCATCAGCTTTGCTTGAAATCCGACAGTTCTGACCTTTCATCAAAGGAAAGAGTGAACTCTTATCTTTATACCTCAGCCAATTTGATATAAATATTTCTTGCTAAAGAAAATAAAATAGTTATTATTCTTATCTCATTTTTCTCTGTTTGTAAATATAGATGTGATAAAACAAGATTCTCTAGATATTATACATACTCGTGGAAATATACCATACATCCCTATTATAGAATCAAACGTTACTGCCATATGAAGTTCAGCATCATGTTTGTTATTACTCATGGGCGAAATCAAATTATCTCCTATCCAATTATGAATTCTTGGATCTTGAAACCATTATAAAGTAAGTTATTTTCAAGTTATTTAATATATATTTTTTATTAATTAATTTTTAATATATATTTTTTATTAATTAATTTTTAATAATTTTATTTAAGAATCAATGCAAAGATATGATTATGAGGAAATCATTTTTCCAGCATAATATATAACTTTCTCTATTAGTTACAACATATTATTTAAAATATTCACAGATCAGCAAATATAGATGAGCAATATAAATAGATAAATAAATATAACCTTATTAATAGAATACACAATAAAATTTGCTGTACATGCAAATATGTGAAAAATTACCTCTATATATCATAGGAGTAAACAGAACAGAACAATGATTCATAAATTTTTTGGAAATTTTACGTATATATGCTTTACATGCTGGTTCTCGTCGTGTTTTTATGACTGTATATATTATAAAAATAATTGTTAATATCATTCTTATAAGGATTTTCTGTAATTCTCCTTTTAAAACTTAACAGTTTTACTTTGATATAGATATATTTTCAACACATATACTCTCCTTCCTGAAAAATAAACATTTGAGGTCACTTTAAACAAATATAGAAACAGAAAAGAATCAGTTACCTTAAATTGTGCTCTGTAATAAAATGTATATGAAATAAAAGGTCAAACTAAAAAGGAGTGTGCACAATTTTTAATTTAAATGTAAATATGTAAATTAAATATTACGGGATTATGCTTAAATTTATAAAAAGAATTATTTAAAAAAATGCAAATCTGTCTTTTAATTTTAAACTAATATCTATCATTTATTATACATTCACAAAAAAAAAAAAAAAAAAAAAAAATATATATATATATATATATATATATATATATATATAATTTCAAAGTATTTTTCTCTTTCGAGTGCAAAAAAATATTTAATATGCGATTAAAAGAAAGCACTGTAATAACACAATCTCTCTCATTCCCTCTCTCACGTGTTCTAATTGTATTATGCACATTTTTGTAGACAAATACAAGACAATTACGTTTGACAAACACTGAAATCTATAATTATAAAAACGAATTAATTGTGGATTTGAATATCTACGTACTTACATATATATATATATATATATATATATATATATCGTAAAAATGTTTTTTCTCTTCATTAAGGTTAACCAACGGACGCAAAATGAATCGGTGCCGAATGAATCGAATAATTCACTTTGTTAAGACCCTTCCACAATGCTAGGCAACAGGCAATTGGAATAGGGAATATTCACCAAAATAGAAACTATTCACCAATAAATACAATTGGAATAGAAAATATTCGCCAATAGGAGCAGAGAATAGATATTTTTGTTCTTATTGCTTGTTGCTTAGCATTAGGGCGGGTCTACAATAGATAATTTAAGCTTAAGTCCCGATTTACAATAGGTAAAGGCCTTCGCACATACAAAAATTTTAGTCGTAACCGTAAGGTTGTAAGAAAACTGACCAATCACAGGGTGTTTACGACAATTAATCGGATCTTTGATCAGACTAAACAGTGGTACTCAGCGATAGATAGCTTTCTAAATTTCCCTAGACTAATCCGGATCAATGATGTGTCTCTGAAGTAATCGAATTAGATTAACAACTTATTCTTATTTTATAGAAAACATCTTATTCTAGTAAAATACATTTGTTTATTAATATATATTTGATAAATAAAGATATATTAATTAAAAGAATAATAAAGTATCTTCTATAATTTCTTATGATGTTTTTCACAATTTTTTCGATCAGCTCGACCGCAATTTCTTTCGATGACTGTTAATCTAATTCGATTACTTCAGAGACACATCATTGATCCGGATTAGTCTAGGGAAATTTAGGAAGTCTATCGCTGAGTATCACTGCTCAGTCCGATCAGAGATCCGATTAATTGTCGTAAACATCCACAGTTATTATTCTTTTATCGCAGAAAGAATACTCGACTATGATTGGTCAGTTTTCTTACGATCTTACGACTAAAATTGTTGTACATGCAAAGGCCTTAAGAAAACTGATCAATCACAGTTGATTATTCTTTTAGCGCAGAAAGAATACTTGACTATGATTTGTCAATTTTCTTACGACCTTACGGTTACGACTAAAATTTTTGTACGTGCAAAAGCCTTAAAGGCCGCAGCACACACTTTTGCATAAGCAAATAACCATAAGCATAAGGAAATTGATTGGTCCCCAAGTATATGCATAAGAAAATGAACCAATCAATTTTCTTATGCTTATGATTATGCGCTTATGCAAAGTGTGTGCTGCGGCTTTTAGGGTCTATCCAGACAAACTTGCATAGGTGCATATGCATAACATAAGACCATATGGACCAATGAGCATCGAGTATTAAATCGCTATATTGACTTACATGACATAATACTCGATGCTCATTGGTCCATATGGTCTTATGTTATGCATATGCACCTATGCAAGTTTGTCTGGATAGGCTCTTAATATAGCGATTTAATGCTCGATGCTCATTGGTCCATATGGTCTTATATTATGCATATGCACCTATGCAAGTTTGTCTGGATAGGCCCTAACATTCCTTGTTTCCAGTCGTAGGCCGGTATTCATAGTCCGATCTTATATTTAAGATCATCTTAAGTCTGGTCCGAGGTTGACTTAAGACCTCCTTCAACCAATCAAATAGCTGCGTAGCATTTCAAGCTCGAACTTAAGATGATCTCAAATATAAGATCGGACTACCGGCCGTAGTCGCAGACGCTAGAGTTGGTTCAATTTCAATTCCAACGACGACGACCACAATATGTCGCTGCGACGGATCAATAAGAAATGAGCATTGTTTTTGTGGGAAAATAGCATTGCATTTAAGACTGCGATTTACTGAACGACTCTACTGCCCGGTTCCACAACTCGAATTAATCCGAGTTTAATACGTTAAACTGGGTCCTGATTCGTCCATTTGCTACTTAAACTCGGATTAACTGGATTGTGGAACTGAGCCTACGACTCGCATTGTAGACCCCGCATTAACATTCCTTGTTTCCAGTCGTAGTCGCAGTCGCTCGAGTTGGTTCAATTCAACGACATATTGTGGTCGTCGTTGTTGGAATTGGAATTGAACCAACTCGAGCGACTGCGACTACGACTGGAAACAAGGAATGTTACGACCGTCTTTGCGATGCTGAGACTCGCATTGTAGACTTCGCATTAAGGTGCAATTTCATTGACGCTAAAAAGTAGCATCAATCATTGGTTAAACAATGAAGCAACTACTTACTTCTTTGTTCAACCAATGGTTGACACTACTTTTTAGCGTCAATGAAATTGCACCTTTAAGGTGCGGCCTCATTGACGCTAAAAAGTAGCGTCAACCATTGGTTGAACAAGGAGGTAAGTATAGTTGCTTCATTGTTCAACCAATGGTTGACGCTACTTTTTAGCGTCAATGAGGCCGCATCTTTAAGGTGCGGCCTCATTGACGCTAAAAAGTAGCGTCAACCATTGGTTGAACAATGAAGCAACTATACTTACCTCCTTGTTCAACCAATGATTGACGCTACTTTTTAGCGTCAATGAAAAGGCCGCTTTACACTGTGTCCTCGCCATAGACATATATACATAGACTGCGCATGCTATGCTGGCCGTTGAAGCAATGAAGTGAGATAGAAAATGGCTCGGAGGATCTCTTTCTCTCTCGCACAGTAAGAAAAGTGGGGGAAGCAGAATGAGAGTTGCAGGGGAAGCCTCCCATTAATACCAGAGAGAAGCCTGAGAGGGGTCATGCTGCCCTTTTTCAGGGAACGCTTTTTCCCCGCCATAAAGTGGCGCTAACTGGATCCATTTTACGGCCGGCGGTACTACGTGGCCGGATCCACTTTTCGCTGCCACGGTAAAACGACCGATTGGTTCATGTCCGTGCTAGATCCATAATTGTGGATCTCAAAAGTACGAAACATATCATACATTTCTTAATTTTTATTACATATTATTAACAGCGCGTGATCTTTTTTCACTTTAGCATATATTATAAAGTAATATATATGTATATGCGTGTATAATATATATAAAATTAAAATGCTTATTTCACATAAAATTTAATGTTTTAATAATTTCAATAAAAGTATTTTAATAAAATATATATGTGTATGTTACTCCAATAATAAATATTACCAAAATGAAAAAAAGATCATACACAATAATGTTTCGTACTTTATTTTGAGATTCACAATAATTAATGAATCTAGCACGAACATACGGTCGTTTTATACACTTATATATATGTATATGTATATGTACATGTATATGTATATATATATATATATATATATATATATATATATACACATATAGTGTACGCGGGAGTATGTGAAGCGAGAAGGTAATAAGAGGGAGCGAAATGGCAATAAGAGGAGCGAGATAGGAATTGAACAAGCAACGAAGACTCGAAAACCGAGTCTTTCTTGCAGTCTGGCATACTATTTCTCTCTCGCTCGCTTCTGTTATTGTTTCACTCGCTCTTACGTACTCATATACTGTCATATTCATCTCGTTATCAAGCCTGCCGCTGGCAAGCGACCGATGACAAATTGTGAGAAATAAATAAATTAATAATTTTAAGATATATTTTGTAAGGGTATGCGAGTAATTGTAATGGAACAATGAAAATTTTGCGACAATGACGACAAATTTTAAAACAACATCAAACGCGGTATCAATCGGATAAATGTAGTTAAATATATATAATCAAAATTTTTATTATCAGACCAATTAAAAATTATTCGATTTATGTCGTGTTTGGTATCATTTTAATCGCAAGAATCTCAATAATTCATTAAAATTACTTTCATACCGATAAAATGAAAAATAGGGGTTTCAGTTTTTATTTAATGAGATGTTTACATTCGCGAGGAAGCCGAGTCCGCTTATCTTTACGACGTGTCAAGTGCGAGAGCGACAGCGAAACCGCGAGTCGAGAGCGAGCGAGATGACCTATCATCAAAGAATTCCGAAGTCTCTTACAATCGGCTTCTTCACTTCCTCTATCCATTCGCAATTTACGAGATTATAAACTAAAAACTGAAACTCCTATTTTTTTATTTTATTGATATGAAAGTAATTTTAATGAATTATTGAGACTTTTGCGATTAAAATGATATCAAACACGACGTAAATCGGATAATTTTTAATTGTTCTGATAATAAAAATTTTGATTATATATATTTAACTACATTTATCCAATTGATACCGTATTTGATATCATTTTAATCGCAAAAATCTCAATAATTTATTAAAACTTTCATATCGATAAAATAAAAAATAGGAGTTTCAGTTTTTAGTTTATAATCTCGTAAATTGCGAATGGATAGAGGAAGTGAAGAAGCCGATTGTAAGAGACTTCGGAATTCTTTGATGATAGGTCATCTCGCTCGCTCTCGACTCGCGGTTTCGCTGTCGCTCTCGCACTTGACACGTCGTAAAGATAAGCGGACTCGGCTTCCTCGCGAATGTAAACATCTCATTAAATAAAAACTGAAACCCCTATTTTTTCATTTTATCGGTATGAAAGTAATTTTAATGAATTATTGAGATTCTTGCGATTAAAATGATACCAAACACGACATAAATCGAATAATTTTTAATTGGTCTGATAATAAAAATTTTGATTATATATATTTAACTACATTTATCCGATTGATACCGCGTTTGATGTTGTTTTAAAATTTGTCGTCATTGTCGCAAAATTTTCATTGTTCCATTACAATTACTCGCATACCCTTACAAAATATATCTTAAAATTATTAATTTATTTATTTCTCACAATTTGTCATCGGTCGCTTGCCAGCGGCAGGCTTGATAACGAGATGAATATGACAGTATATGAGTACGTAAGAGCGAGTGAAACAATAACAGAAGCGAGCGAGAGAGAAATAGTATGCCAGACTGCAAGAAAGACTCGGTTTTCGAGTCTTCGTTGCTTGTTCAATTCCTATCTCGCTCCTCTTATTGCCATTTCGCTCCCTCTTATTACCTTCTCGCTTCACATACTCCCGCGTACACTATATGTGTATATATATATATATATATATATATATATATATATATATATATATACATATACATGTACATATACATATACATATATATAAGTGTATAAAACGACCGTATGTTCGTGCTAGATTCATTAATTATTGTGAATCTCAAAATAAAGTACGAAACATTATTGTGTATGATCTTTTTTTCATTTTGGTAATATTTATTATTGGAGTAACATACACATATATATTTTATTAAAATACTTTTATTGAAATTATTAAAACATTAAATTTTATGTGAAATAAGCATTTTAATTTTATATATATTATACACGCATATACATATATATTACTTTATAATATATGCTAAAGTGAAAAAAGATCACGCGCTGTTAATAATATGTAATAAAAATTAAGAAATGTATGATATGTTTCGTACTTTTGAGATCCACAATTATGGATCTAGCACGGACATGAACCAATCGGTCGTTTTACCGTGGCAGCGAAAAGTGGATCCGGCCACGTAGTACCGCCGGCCGTAAAATGGATCCAGTTAGCGCCACTTTATGGCGGGGAAAAAGCGTTCCCTGAAAAAGGGCAGCATGACCCCTCTCAGGCTTCTCTCTGTTAATACTCAGTTCACTTCCCCCTCCACGGTGTGATTTAAAGTGAGACAGAGATCCCCCGATATTGCTTTCTCTTTTTAAATGTTTGCTTCAATGGCTAGCACAGCATGCGCAGTCTAGTTATATACGTCTATGGTCCTCGCTAACTGGAAAACGCCCAATCTCATTGTAGACGACGTTTTAGACCGGGTCTACAATAGACAATTTAAGATCTAAGCTTTAAGAAATTGACCAATCACAGTTGAATATGAAGAGAATATTCGACTGTGATTGGCCAATTTCTTAAGGCTTAGGGCTTAAATTATCTATTGTAGACCCAGCCTTATTGTTGACGGTGATCAATCGAGATATTTTTGATATTTCTTAGCTGATTGTTTTGAATTTTTTGAATTGCATCCACACTCTGTACATAAAATATGGCCTATAAAAATCTTTGCATAAGTATTATGAAAGAAAATCGAATGCTGGATAGATATCTAAAAACTGTTATAACCAAATGCAACTATTCAAAAACGACGAACTTCGAATCTTCGGAGAATAATGAGAAAACGACGCATTTCGGTTTCCAAACGATCAAGGAAAGTGAAAAAACGAACGAAGGTAAATATTAATTCCATCAAATGTTTGTTTTTTCCTTATTCTTTTTTTTTCTTTGCATGTGAAAAGTGGATAAATATCAAATTAATATATTTATATTTTTATATTAATATTTATATTAATATTTATATTTTTACAATCTGTATTAGATACAGTTTTATAAATTTAAAAATTGCATATATGTATATAATTTAATTGAATAATATTCGTCTTTTTTAGTATATACTGTATTTGAAAATGTTGCCAATTATTACGACATAATGAATGATACAATGAGTATGGGTATCCATCGCATTTGGAAAGATATCTTTATACAAGAATTAGGACCAACTCATGGTACCCATCTCTTGGATTCTGCTGGTGGCACAGGTGACATTACATTCCGGTATATGAACTTTCTAAAGAATACACCAAATCCGCAAGCTATACGTAGTTCTGTAACTGTATGCGATATTAATCAACATATGCTAGATGTTGGTAAAGAACGGGCAAATAGATTAGGCTTGTCGCAGGATACTAATTGCAGTATTACTTGGAAGCAAGAGAATGCAGAAAATTTCTCCTTTCCCGAGGAATCTTTCACCGCTTATACCATAGCGTTTGGAATAAGAAACATAACATATGCTGACAAGGTATTTATAATATACTGGATTTACTCATTAATTATTTATATAACATAAAGGTACATTTAAAAATTACATTTCATTATATACTATAAGTTATTTTTAATGAACTTGTAAAACTAGATTTATATTTTTATTTATGAATCACTAGTGCTCTTAAATTACAGGTACTGTCTGAAGCATACAGAGTTTTACAACCAGGAGGAAGATTCTTGTGCCTAGAATTTAGCCATATCAATAATGGAGCTTTACAATGGTATATATACTTTGAAATGAAAGAAAACTTGCATAATATATCATAATTTGCATAGACTAAACAATAATATAATAAAATTTCCTTAAATATCTATTTCAGGTTGTATGATCAATATTCTTTTCAAATAATACCTGTGATGGGACATTTAATCACAGGACAGTGGAAAGCTTATCAGTATCTTGTAGAAAGCATAAGAAGATTTCCAAAACAAGAAGATTTCAAAGTAAAGCCTCTATACTTATTTTAGTTTTATTATTTTTATTTGTTATATAAATTTTAATAACATACTGTAGAATCAAGATATTTTTTGAGTATTATTAGAGTATTATTTTTTTATTTTATTCTATGATCGCCATGTTTCATTTCACTTTTACTATATTACATCTGAAGGTTTATTAATCTGAACTTTGTTTTTAATTGTATTTATTACATTTATTTTTTATTATATTTTTAGGATATGATCCAGACTGCTGGATTTAGAAATGTGACTTATAAAAATCTTACTTATGGCATGGTAGCTATCCATTCAGGTTTTAAATTATAAATAAGATGGTTTGTAAATAAAATAAAAAAAATAATTTTGAAAAACAAAAATAAAATATTATAATATATCAAAGAACAAATAAAATATATAATAAAATATTTCTTTATTTTCAGTTTTGTAAATAAAATAAAAAAAAAATTTGTAAATAAAATAAAAAAAAAATTTGTAAATAAAATAAAAAAAAATAATTTTGAAAAACAAAGATAATATAATATATCAAAGAACAAATAAAATATATAATAAAATATTTCTTTATTTTCAGTCAATATCTATTTTTCTCAGAAAAAAGTATATTATTTCTACCTAATTGATTATACACGCCATATTGTAAGGAGCAGGAGATATGCGTTTTATTGTTATTTCATCACTTTTGCTATTAATTTGTCATTTTGACTGTAATATATAGTAATTTTTATTTTACTTTTGTCAGGAATTGTTTTTTGCAATTGCATGTAATTTCTAATATAATGTGCAGACATTACTGTCTGAAAGTCCATTTCACTAAGCTCTATTGTATATTTAGGCTGCCACTTGTCCGAGTGTGAAATTCGCTTGCTTACTGCGTAATCTCTCTATTCGTTTGCAACTCGTTCTATTGCGTAAGAGTCGTGCGACTCTTGGGTGCTTCGGTGATGCTCGAGGTGATGCGACCAACGGTACCCCTATCGTGATTTACGCTACTACGCATTTCTACGCAGATCGTTTCCGCGAATTGCTTTCTCATAGTACACGGAATTAAGCATGTAAAGAAGAATTTTCACGAGATTGTGAAAATTCTGGGAAATAAATTACTCCAAAATCAGATAATTTGTTTTTCAAGATTTATAGCTCTTTGCATTTAAATCAATTTTAATATTCTGTTGTGCTTGCGAATTTTACACAATTATAAATTATAAATTTTATATATATATATATATATATATATATATATATATATAAGAGCAAAAGGTGAAAAGAAAATGAAACTAAATAAATTTCTTGAAAAAAACAATAAAAATAAAAAATAAAAATCTTTTTCTTTTATGAAAATAAAATAATTTCTTTTTAACTAACTTTCGTTTTATTTTCATAAAAGAAAAAGATTTTTATTTTTTATTTTTATCGTTTTTTTCAAGAAATTTATTTAGTTTCATTTTCTTTTTATTTCATTTTCTTTTCATCTTTTGCTCTTCCTTCATCAGAGATTTTTGAGCGATAACTTCTTAAGGAAGTATTTTTCGATCCATGTTTATCGAAAATTTTTTGTTTAGAATTAAATTTCCTATAAGATCTCAAAGTCTGGCTGGAACGTTTGGGGTCACCCTGTATATATATATATATATATATATATATATATATATATATATATAAAGATAAAGATTGATTATGAGTTTTGGGACACCCATATATATATATATATATATATATATATATATATATATATATATATATATATATATATGGGTATCCCAAAACTCATAATCAATCTTTCAAAGACAGATTCCTGGGATCATTTGGAGACGATTTTTTCTCCAAATGAAGATTCTCAAAGTGAAAATGTCGATGAAGGCCATCATTTTTTGCATGTTCTCGATTTTTCTCATCATATATCTTTGCAAGCCTTAAATTAAAACTCAACTAAAGTAAACTCTATTTAAACCCAGACAGCACAGGACATCCTATGGACATTCATTTTATGTCCATTTTACGTCCGTACGTCCATGGACATGAAATGACTGTTCATCGTACATCCGATTCGGGACATCCGTTAACGGCCAATATTTGGACGTCCACAAAATGTCCGATCTTGGACATCAAAGTTTCGCGCGAGCACGCAAGGATGTGTTAGTTCGTTCGTTTACCGCTATGCGACGTGCGATGCGCTATCTTTCTCGTATTTAAGTTTTAGTTATAAGAATTATATAAAGTTTGCAAAGAGTAACAAATAAGATTAAAAATATACTGTTCAATTTAATTTGTGATCTCAATACAAGAGTTTCAGATATTAAATTGATTTTATAAGTCGTACAAGTAAATGTCCGGCAAATAAACGAAAATAATCCGGTACTTATTTAAACTTGCTTGTTGCACTTTACATTTTAAATTACCTATTTAAAATGTAGAGTGCAATAAGCAAGTATAAATATAAATAAAATTTTTACATGAATTTTATGTAAAGTTTTATATGAAATAGATAAATTATACTATTTTATTATATTATTTAATTTTGTTGGGCCAAAGAATTTTTTATGTTTTAAATGTTATGAAGGATACATAATGCTATTTATTTATGTATAATAAAGAACAATTTTTTATATATGATTAAATTAGGTCAAAATCCATACATAATTATATCTACACAATTATACATAATTAAATATAAATTTTTTTCTGAGTTTATGAATTTTTGATATTTATTCCAATAATAATTTGAAAGAGTAAGACACTGAAAATGATGTCCATTTTAAGTCCTTTTTTGGATTGTTTTTTGGACATCCGAAGTAGTGAATAACCGACGTCTTATGGATGTCCAATGGATATCCGTCGGACTTAATTCAGACATCTTATGGACGTCCACATGTCCAAACTCGAATGTCCATTGGACGTCCATAGGAGTTCCATGTGCTATCTGAGAAATTAATCGAAGAATGTGGTTTTGTTAATATTTTATTTCTACAAAGCTTAGTTTATGAAAAACCCCTTATTTCCAATCACTTATAATTCAAAAATTATTAGTGCCTCGACATTTTCGTTCAGGAAAAATCGTTTTCAGATGATCCCAGGAATCCGTCTTTGAAAGATTGATTATGAGTTTTGGGACACCCTGTATACACACACACACACACACACACACACACACACACACACACATATATATATATATATATATGTATATATAATTAATTTTTTTTCTAAATTATGTTACATTAGCATTATATTAGCATTATGAAAAATGATGATCATTTTTTTTTGCGTAGACAGACTGACTTGTAATATTTTGAAATTTTAATATACATAATTTTGATTGAAGAAGAAAAAAACAGATATTGATTAATTTCTTCGGAAGAATATACAAGCAAATTTGTATTTTACAAGATAGCAGAAAATTTTTAAGTATAAAATTGTTATATGTGGGGGGAATTCGAAGACGTAAGATATATGGAAATTACAGCGATACAAAGAGTCGATGAACACGAAAGAGGAAAGCTTCGACGGGGACAATCCAGCGAGAGAAGCCTCTCATATTGTGTCAACAACGACAACGACGCGAATCGAAGGCCGTCGTCGCGAGGGGGAATCAATTCTACGTGGCGTAATATCTACATGCGTCATGCGGTATGCTTTCTCTAGGAGGTGAAAATTCTTAACTTTCTTCGACTACAGAAACATTCCTATTCATGTACCTCGGTACCCGATGATGCTTGGCCGCGCTCCCATAGCTTTTCAACACTCGACTGTTATTGACGCGTCTCTCTTCTGCCTTTCAAGGGTATATTATTGGCGTTTACAGTGATTTCCCTTTGAGCAATGTCGCACGACATGTTATTTTTTTCACGGCAGATTAAATGTACAATTTTTTAAAATAATTTTTACATTAGTTCATGTCTGCTTTTAGAAATACATATATTTCTCGAGCATATCTCTCTTTCTGGGAATCTTTCAATAAATTATCCAATATATGCAATATATTGTATATATAGTGTATTACGATATTAGTACACTGAAAAAAAAATAATGTTGAATTAACAATGTCAGTGCAATTGGAATTTATTTTATTAATTCAATAACATTATTAATCAAATCAATACATGGTGTATTAATTTGATTAAAAATGTTATTGAATTAATAAAATAAATTCCAATTACACTGATGTTATTGGTTCAACATTATTTTTTTCTTAGTGTAGTTAATGTAATATTAATATATTATATCGTTAATATAATATTAATATAATATTATATCGTCGAGAAGAAAAATAAAAATATTTTATATCGAAAGGTAAAAAGAAAAGGTAAAATAAAAATATTTTATATTGAAAGGTGAGATTTTTAAACGGAGGTATAATTTACCAAGTGAATTAGATAGTTCTTAAAGCGGAAGAAATCGGGCGAAGATGCAGAATCTCGCGATGCAGTTTCTTGTTGCATATATCGATTTTCCTGACCTCGATGACCTCGTGTACCCTTTCCGCCTTGGATACTTCCTAGAAAGTATATAATGCCTCGTTACCGCTTCGGTCTATGGTTTATATCCATCTGCTAGTGAGGATCGACGTTGCATTATTATACAACACACCGTTTCTCATGATATCCCGCATCGTCTCTCTAAGAAGCATTGCTTTCAGATAGATTCGGATGAGTAAGCAAAAATTGCATCATGTGCGTTAAATAAATCAATGTTATATATTCGTAAGTTAATTTTAACCTTAATGATTAAATTTAGAATTGATGTAAATCTATAATAATACAGTCACCAATCGCGAGAAAAAAAGATTGTATTTTATATAATCTTAAAAAAGATTGTATTTTAAATAATCTTAATAAAATAATAAATTTTATTTTAAATTATAATATATTTTGAAAAGAGAAATAAAATAATATTTTAAGTCTCTTCTATCTAGACTTATTTATAATATATTTTTTTTCTTATTAAAACTGACAATGAGTAACAAGAGAAAACCGCTTTATGCGAAAGCATTTTGACAAGTACGATGATAGATATTGCAAAAAATTCGGCATCTCGTGTGCGAATTATTTCGTTCATTAAAGGACGAATCGGATTACATCAGTAGGTGCGAGAATTACGCGATGATTGCACCTATTAATCGAAAGTAATAAGCACGGATTCCTAAGAGACGAGATCAAGGTGTTTCCGTTTCACCGACGAGTTCGTAAAAGTTTTAGAGAGCGAACGATCAGAGATCTTTCGATATACCAAATGTTAGTGTTACAAAGTTACATGGAATTTGTCAGTAGAATTCTTTTTATACGCGTATGCGTGATGCAAATGAGATTTTTCGCACGATTTTTCAGAGAGATGCGTAGCGTACCTTACGCAATTTGACCTATTAATTTAAGCGAAAATTCGTGTATTCTG